TGCAACGGCCCGCACAGCTCGTGTTCAATCGTGACGCGATTCACAACGTCCGGTTCGAAGCCAACTGGAAGTACATTAAGGAACGTCGCCAACGACTAATCCAACAAAACAACGATAGGGAAAAGCAACGCGTGTCCCTCATCAATACAATGTCAACGATACTGTGATGATTCAACAGTATCAGCACCGCAAGTCGGTCAGCCAAGTACAAAGGTCTTACACTATAGACCGAGTCAATGACAATGGCACTGTACGGCTCCAACATGCTACCGCCAACGGCGGCACAGTCTACCAGACTTGGAACATAAGGTATATACACCCATAAAGGCCTGATCCCCTTGTAGGATTGCCATCGTGCGACGCACATGTCTACATCCAAATCTCATGAGAGTGCCCGCACTTTAAATCATATGTTCTCCTTATCCGACTGCTGTCGCGCCTTCTGTGACCCTTGTCAGGGGGCGAATGCAATACACGGCTCTTAGCCTTATTCCGACTCGATCCTAGATAGGGTTTGAGTTGACTCATGACTAGTCTCTCGTGAATAGTCATTTGAGACAGGGTTCTCAATTGACCGCGCTAGTCATACTAGGTTGATGATGAAACATCGCTCTAGATATTTAGCTAGCGTGGAGTACTTCCACGTTACTAGATCCAGGCTAGACAAACCTTCCACGCGTTCCGTTTAGGATCGTGGAAAGACGTAGGATTACTACCACAACCTACTCTATCACACTTTACAGTCTCCCGCGGGAAGCCAGATCTACGATCCCTTGATGATGATCTCTCTCGTTGATTAGTTTTCATAGCTTTCTAATCTCTCTCATAACTTTCATACTCTCAAACTCAAAACACTCGAAAGATCTTTACACTAGCTTGTAGCGTAGTGCATTTAATTACCTCCGGAGCATCCTCCCGTTTCCAGTTCTGACATGTTTTGGGATCTTCTGCTGGGTCCTCTGGTACTAGTAGGTACGACAGCCCTCCTTGCTTTTCTGGATTCCGGATGTTGTCAATTTTTCGGAAGACATTGGAGACTTTCTCTGCTCTTCGCATTCCCCGAATCCTCTTGGCTGCTTTCGAATTGCATTTGGGTTCATGTTGTTGGATCATGCGCTGTTGGTGAGCTCTACGCAGCTTCTTGGTTCTGATTTCCTCTTTCACTGCTGCTTTGAATTGCTTGTCAATTTGTTTCAGTTTCTTTTGGCACGCTCGTTTGGTAGCTGGGAGAGTGAAGCCGATTGAGCCCAATTGAGATCTATATGTTTCTATGTTATTCTCCAAGTCATATTGGCTGTTGAATTGACTGACTGCCAGTTTCAGTATTGTGTGGATGTTTCTGAGTCTAGCCAATTCTGGGCTGTAAGGGGCTGGCGCGTAGGTTTTGACTCTGCTCCCCCCATAGCTGCTTGAGCTGACCAGTCTGTTGTACAGGTCTTCTGCTAGATGGTGGTTGGGTTGGTGGATGTTCATGGCTCCCCTCAGTGTTGGGAGTTTGTTGCGCCATCGGTGATCAAGTAAGTGTTTGTCTTTCATATAGAAGTATTCTGGGATTTGGTGCAGCTTGGTCTTGGTGGAAAGATCTCTGATGGGCATAGGGGCTAGAGTGTTGATTTTGGAACCGAAAAAGGCTTTTGTGTCGACATCAAGGAAGAGCCCCCTGTGATCACTCAAGATGTGAATTTTGAAGGGCTGATATCCACAGTTTTGAACTGCTGGGAGGAGTTGCGGATCAACAAGGATGTAATCAAGTGTGTTGTTGCTTCTAATATAGGTGGAGAAGTGTGCAGTTTGATGTTTGTTCATGACCGGGTCTACCAGTTGACACTCACTGCAGAGTTTGGTCATTCCATCTGGATTCTCTCCCAATGTCTCATTGAGGTCTCCTCCCACAACTACTAGCTCTCCTTGGAGTTGGCAAGATTTCACAAACTGAATCAAGTCCCTGCTGTGATGGTGCCGCAGTTTGTGAGGTGCATGTCTGCCGTCTCTGATGTAGCAGCTGTGCAATTGCTTTTTGTATGTCGTCTCGCCAACACTGGCTCCTGTGGGGTTGCCCTTAACAACTTGGTATGTTGATATCACTGTGATTGGTGACATTCCAGGCCTTCTGAATTTCGCAAATACCCATCTGCCAAACTTGTCCTCTCCCATTTCTAACACTGCTCCTCTAATTCTGCCAATTGCCATGATGAAAACTCCACCTGGTTTTACCAATGTTGCTGACTCAATTGGAGTTGAAGATGCCTTAAGTCTGTATTCGTCCCTTCCAAAAACTTCTCTGGCACTTTGATGGAGTCTGTGCACTGCTGCTTTCTTGGTGGTGTCTGCTCCTAATTCACTGCCCATGGCAAGATCTACTTCCATGCTCTTGTAGTGATAGCAGTTGGAGAACCAATTTCCTTTATTCTTCCTGAGGTTGGGATTGCTATTATTTTGGACATGAATTCTTGTGTGAGTTGGGTCCTTGGGGAGATTCATGTCATCTCCAATGGGTTCATTCTTTTGGATCCATCTGATGTCATTGTCTAACATGATGGATGGGTTTCACCCTTGCTTGAGGCTTCACCTTGATCATTGAACTTGGAGTTGAGATTGTGTGCTAATATTGTCGGTTCAGAATCTTGCATCGGTGATCCTTGGGTAATATGTTTGGATGGCACTGCCTTGGCATAGTTTCCTGGGGTCCCCATTCTAATGTCTGGACTTGCATCCTTCCCTATTGGAGTGCCTTTGCTATCTTGCTTCTTTCTGGCTGGGCTTTTCAATACTTGATCTGAGAGTGCTGTGACCGCTGCTGTGAGTTGGTCAATTTGACTCTGCATGGTTTCTAGAGTGTGAGTCAGAGCTTCTTTGTCATATGTTAGGTTGTGGACTTTCATTTTGAGATCTGCGTTTTCATCTTCAAGCTCCTCTTCTCGTTGCGTCTTGACTGTGTTCCCAGGTGAACTGAGTTGGGATGTGGCTATGGATGATGCATCCTGCTGTTGTGGGTTGTTGAGGTTGGCTACTAATGCTTCCGCAAACGATGGTTTTTGGGCATCAATAGTTGTTGGTAGGGAACGCGCCATCTGGTTGCTAGCAATGCTGGATCTGCCAGTGGTTGTGATGTCATCTGCCAACAAATGTTTGTATTTGCTTTTGATATCATATTCCTCAGAGTTGGCAGTGCTATTGGGGTAAATTGTTGCACCGTCCCAGCGTTGGAGTGGTGTCAATTTGGGAATTGGTGCCTGTGGATCCATAATCGTTCTCAAGTTTAGGAATGTCTCAGTTGCTTTGTGGACTATCTCCTTGTCATTTCGGAGGCACTGCACGTAATAAGTTCCCGAATCACTTGTGTGACTTGTTGCAGCAATGTCGATGACCTTGTGTTTCAAATTAAAATCTGTGAGTCTTGCCTGGCGCAGACCTTCAATGAAGTCTCTGTTGGTTTGTGTGATTTTGACTGCTCCTCCTGAGTTGACAATGATATTGTGTAACTCCAACTCTTTTGCAAAATGTTTGGTTTTCTTTTTGAGTTCGAATGGAATGAAGTCCACTTCTTTGTATGGATTCTTTTTCAAGCAACAAAGTGCTGCAGAATAGTCTGCCTGGCCCACAACTGCCGCAACAACTGTTGATCCTATATCAGCATGTTTGATATTCATGACTTTGAGTTGCACTTTCATCGTGTCGGTTGTTTGCCCCATCAGGTGAATGTTTAGATGCGCCGAAAATCTCTCGCTTAAGTCGTTTCTCCATGTGTGTTTTGCCGACTTGCCCTGAAACCATCCGAGAACTTTTGTGTTGGACTCATTGAGCTGGTGTGTTGTTGGAGGAAATATACCTGACACCTCTTTACTATTGACTCGTGTATTAAACATCTAGTCCGGTTTGCATGCAAATTCATGATGCAAGGAACCAAGGGAGTTTTAGGTCTAAAGTGTTGCGGGGGTCCTTATATCCAATTCAATCACAAGAATTGCTATGCACCACCAGAAAATCCTCACTTTTGCTTTTCAGCTTAATCTAAAACCAAATTACTCCCCAATAAGCTGCAGTATTACTAGCAAACAACACTGAAAAGCAAAAGTCTCATCTCGAGTTCGAAACAAGATCGATCAACCGTCTCGAGATTGATACCATCAAGTTGATCCAAGACTATCATTGAGTAACTATAGCAACAGAGAAGAGGTGCAGAAATACAGTGCGCAGCAGCACTATCTGCATAGGCAAACAGCCCTAACACGAAAAAGGTGTGCGGGAAGATTCCCATCTTCATTCCCATTTGACGTCACGGAAGATCAACTGTAAGTTTCGGCCGGAACTACAGCAATCCAAGCATAACACGTTGAAGAGAACAAGAAGACACACCAGTTACGTGCTGGAAGCAAGGAAATCCGGCTCTTATCCAGTGAGAAATCTTCAATCGCGCGAAATCAGGAGTTCGATACGTCACATCATGACGAGCAGAAGCCATCGAACGGTGTTCAAGATAGCTCGCGACACAGACGTTGCAAGCAAGAGGTGTCATACATTAATCGATAGAGGACCTCTAGCCGCAACTCTGAGTATCGGTGCAAGCTTCTAACTCCGAAAATGGAGCGAGATAGCTTGATTCGAGTCATACAGTGCCAGTGTGACAGTGAAGCACAAAAATCCCGGTAACGACTCGGAGCTCTGAAACTCCTCTGTTTGACTAAACGAAGCATTGAAACTCACTCAGTGTACTCATCCAAGCATACCAAAACCATCTGCAAGCTTTGCAGAGGCAACAAAAGGACCAACAGAGGCAGTTTGCTACTACCCAAGGATCCATACCACGAGTTCCTCAGGAATTCCGTGAGCTGTCAAAGACAGAGGCTATCCAGCCACCAATAGGTGCACCAAGAGTGACCAAAAGAAGGCTATCCAGCCATCAAGCAAGCTTTTTGAATAGACACGACGCAGTGTTATTCAACGTGAGATCCTTCCTGCAGGAGTATCCACACAAGAACAGTTCCACGAGAACAAGCTAGTTCCAAGGAACAAGCACAGCACAACAGTGCATTACCACACCAACGGCAACCATGAGATTCCAAGGAAGAGGTGGTCGTGGTGGAGGAAGATACCCTTCAAGGGGGGGTAGGGGATTCAATTCCTCAGGAAGAAGCCATCAAGGAAGAGGCAACAGCTACAGGAACCAGAACAAGAGTCCCAAGCGTCAGTTCCTCTTCCATCCAAATGGACAGGCTGACACCAGGTATTATCCTTTTGAAGAGACCCTGACCCACATTGTACAGGACCTAAGGATCAAGCCTGAATGGAATGATGTGCCATTGGCTTCATTGGCCATTGAGACCATGACAAGTCAGGCACCAACCAAGCCGACCAAGCCTACACTCCAGATATCACTTCTGATCCCAAAGCACAAGAGTACGATGCCTTGGAACTCAGTGAGTACAAGGCAAAGTCATCCATCTATGACAAGTCGACTCGATCCTATGAGAACATTCTCAAGACTGTGAACCACCTATGAATTCCAGTAGGAACTCAGCTGGTAGTGCACAAGAGCTGGGATGGAGAGCTCTGTTGGTGGAGATCTCCTTCCACTGGCGCTGGAAGGGCCAGCCTAAGGCTGGCAGCCAATGCTATTCAATCACTGTGGAAGCAATGTTGAACAGTCTAATTGCTCAATACCCTGGCACTGGCCATACAGGATCCTGTCTACTGCAGAGCTCTACTTGTGCTGTTGGGTCTGTCTCTCAGGTCAACTACTTCTTCATTACTTCTTTAAACTATGCATGAACACAAACTCTGATTTTGCGTGAAACTCCATCCTCCAGCCATGCAGATACAGATCCATGCATCTATCTTGGCTGGTATTGACCAAGCTATCTTTCTAGATAGGTCATGGCTGAGGAGCTGCATCATCCTTCCTTACAGAGGAACTCTATGTCCTCTACAGCTGTTCCTATCTTGTCTGATGGTGACACAGCTCATTGTACTGAAAGATGTACAGATGCAACAGCGATCTTTCCATCAGACTGAGCCAGCAAAGCTGCGCCGCACCCATATGGCTCCTATGGCATAATCTCATCGCTCCCCACATTGGAGTCATGGATGGGATGCCAACAAGCTTGCACATCAGGGGCTTCCCTCGATACTTCCATGAACTGGTAGCATCTGGCTTCTCAGTGTGGACTTGGTTGCTTACCTCAGGGGTTACCAACCTCTTGAATCATCAAGGTGTCTATTGCTGAGTACCACTTGCACATTGGGAGGGGCATCTCATGGGCTTGTGATCAAACTCCAGTCGTGTTCAGGAGAGAAAGGGTGCATTGGCATTGGTCCATCTGACCTCAATTGGGATCTCCTGGTCTCCCCATACTTGATCATAGCTCATTGGCTTAGAAGGCTATCTGTCTATCTCCCCAAAGGGCCAGTGAGAACAATCTTGGCCATAACTGTTCATCTGAGCCCTCAACTGGGTAGTTAGGTGACAAGTCGTCATCCTATGAGGTGGGACTGGTTGTCCTATCATCAGATATGCCTCAGTAAAGGCAACACCTCGCAGACTCTCCTCAAGTTTACACATCTCCTTACATGGGTTCAAAAGAATCCCGTCCAGAGACACGACTAACTTGTGCTTGCTTGGGTATGACGGTGCAGGTCTGTCACATGACGTGGCAGTGGCTCATCCCACAGCCACCAGCTTGGTGGGTGTTGCTCCAGCCCGATGCTTCACCTTGCTGAGGTGACACAGTGTAAGTTCCCCCATCACCCGAAAGGGAAGGAGTGCCATCAGGGCGGGAGGGTGGGAGTCACCAAAACATGTTTTCACAAAACATATGTACTTGGAACACTATCCTGGAGATGACAAGTTTCACAAACACTTGTCATGCTGGGCCATGTCCTGCGGAAGGTAGCCCTATTGGGGTGGCATCTACCCCGCAGCCATGGCCGGTGCCTGGGTACACTTGGGCTCAACCAGTGCGACACAACACTAGTTGCCCAGGCAAAAATCCGTCTTGGACTTGCCCTTGAGGGCTGCAGTCCCCAATTGCCATCTGGAGAGATCTAAGGCGTCCCCGACTGTGGGTCAGCTTCGCTCTTCGGATCCACCAGGTCTGACATCTGGGTTTGACGGTGGGCTTCATCAGGACTCTCTTGTCAGCGACGAGAGCCTGTACCAAATCCGGCGTCCATTGCTGGATAGCTGAGACCAGACGTAGGCCAGGAAGGCGTGGAACTTTACACTGCTCCCCATCACCCTGATGTCCTGTCTTGCCAATGTCGGCTATGTTGGTTAGACGTGAGTCATCATCCTTCGGTTGATGTCAAAGATGTGGCGGCATTCAGTAGCACCTCCTTGTACCCTGTCGTATGTAAACGATGCATGATGTCCCTCGCGACATACTTCTCTCATGTTCACGTGCAGAAATGTCGTTCAAGGTGGGAACACCGTGAAGGCCCGCGTAAGAACAGCTTCTGTATACCATCGGTGAGCCTATCACTGAGTCTCCTTGGCCATCATTGTATCGGGTAACAACTGTGTCAAACTTGACAATGAAGTCCACTGCGGAACCTTGCTCCTCTGGGCGTATTGCACACTAGTCAGCCATGTGAGTGTCTCCACATGATCCAGAAACCTGCTACTGACAAGTGAGCGTCCTGGACAAGCTCAACGAGAATGGAAAGCAGTCAGAGTCATGAAGTGGGACCTCACGATTACTTTCCATTGGTGGTCGCACTGTCTTCTGGAAAACGCGTAGAACCATGATTCATCGTATGAGTTCATCATGGACTCGGTGCTCCTTGGGACGTAGTCGGATCAAAGATCTTATAAAACCCTTGACCTCTAGCCATATTGATAAAGGACTCATCCACTGGTCGAAGTCTTTGTTGGATTTGAGGGTAGGGTAGGCCGTGGAATCCGGCTTGGCACGAAAGGGCTTGCCTGGAAGGCCTGTGTTGCCACCTTCTCCACCACCTCTGGGACTTGAAGACCACCATTGCCATCAGGGGTGGGAATGAAGGCTGATTCCTTCTTGGTTCTCCGGTTGATCAGTAGGTTGGCCGACGGAGGGATGGCTGATTGTACTGGTGTCTTGGATGTGTGGGCCTAATAGGTATGGCTGATAGGCTGCTGAAGAACAGGTTGTGTAGTTGGGTATCTCACAGAATGGGGTGTTTGGTGGGATGCCGTGATGTGATGGTATGATTGGTGTTGGTTGTGGGTATACCTCCCCATTGAGGGCCATACTTGGTGATGGTATCCACCTCCAGCAGGGGAGTGGCAACATCCATGGCAACTTTGGTTGGGTGGATGACAAGAGGGTCCTCAACATCACCCAACAACTCTGTTCCAAACTGCCTGGTTCTGAATCGGTCCTCCTAGCCTTATCTCAGGGAGGCTTGTGTGATAACAGGTGTGCAGGGAGTGGAGTAATAAGGTGGATGGGATAACCAAGCGATTGGTATTGGGCTTGTGGTGGGGCAAGGGCTTGGTTCATTTGTTTCATTTTCTCAATGCTATTGCCAGTTGGTGGTGATCATTGAAAGGGTAACACCTTGTTGGCTGGTGGGGAAGGAGTCACAATGGAGGCCCTGACTGGTAGGCTACGGGGGGTCCACAGGTGTCCTTCCTGTGATGGAACTGGATGTGGGGGTCCTCAGTGGTGGACCTGTTGGTGTTACCAGTGCTATT